AATCAATATTCAGAAATCAGTTGCATTTGTATACACCAATAATAAACCATCGGAAGGAGAAATTAAGAAAACAGTCCCATTTACAATTGCTTCAAGAACTATAAAATACTTAGGAATAAATTTAACCAAAGAAGTAAAAGACCTGTACTCAGAAAATTATAAGACACTGAAGAAAGAAATAAAAGAAGATATAAATAAATGGAAACACCTACCATGCTCATGGATAGGAAGAATTAATATAGTTAAAATGTCCATACTGCCTTAAGCAATATATAAATTCAATGCAATTCCTATTAAACTACCAAGGGCATTTTTCACAGAAATAGAAAATATAAACCTAAAATTTATATGGAACCATAAAAGACCCCAAATAGCCACAGCAATCTTGAGAAATAAGAACAAAGTCGGAGGTATCACGCTACCTGACATCAAATCATACTACAAGGCTACAGTAATCAAAACAGTATGGCACTGGCATAAAAACAGGCAAATAGGCCAATGGAACAGAGTAGAGAGCCCAGAAATAAACCCATCCATATACGGACAGTTAGTCTATGACAATGGAAGCAAGAATTTACATTGGGGTAAAGATAGTCTATTTAATAAATGGTGCTGGGAAAATTGGACTGACACGTGCAAAAAAATGAAAATGGACCACCTCCTTACACCATATACAAGAACAAATTCAAAATGGATTAAAGACTTAAATGTAAGACCTGAAACCAAAAAAGAAGAAAATATAGGGAATAAATTTGCAGACATTACCCTGAGCAATATTTTCACTGATACATCCCCGTGGGCAAGGGAAGTAAATGAAAAAATGAACATATGGGACTACATCAAACTTAAAAGTTTTTTCACAACAAAGGAAACCATCAATAAAACAAAAAGGAAGCCTATTGAATGGGAGAAGATATTTGTCAATGAGATATCTGATAAGGAGTTAATATCCAAAATTTATAAAACACTCATGAAACTCAGCACAAAAAAAACACACACAACCCAATTAAAAAATGGGCAGAGGATATGAAGAAGCATTTCTCTAAAGAGGACATACAGATGGCCAACAGGCTTATGAAAAAATGTTCAACCTCACTAATCATTAGGGAAATGCAAATAAAAACCACAATGAGATACCATCTCATTCTGGTCCGAATGGCTATCATCAATAAGTCAACAAACAACAAGTGCTGGCGAGGCTGTGGAGAAAAGGGAACCCTGGTGCACTGTTGGTGGGACTGCAGATTG